TGGCCCATGAGGCAGTGGCATCATTTAGTTTTGTTTTAGTTTCAGTGTAATTATGAGCAAGCACTCCCCATGGTAGAAACGTGGCATTTTTATTTGTCTGAAACGTGCCATATACACACCCCTGTGGGGGGTTTCCGACTCATTAATAAATCATCCGGGAACTCAGGTCATGATTATTGTTAATTACCGTAGAATTTATTAACATTTCTCTTTTCTTTAGCGCCAATACCCAGAGATGACAGCAAGCCTGTTGAAGGTAAGTGTAAGGGTCTTTTCTCAGGTATCTGTGTTTGCAAACACACCAGGCAGGACTGTGATCTCTAATCCCCAGAGATTATCTCAAAGACTGAAAAGTCAGCTAATTGGCAGAGGAAAGGACTTACAGATTCCCTCTCTTGTATACAGTTTGCACCAGGGGCAGGCCAGAGTATAGCTCCTCATGGCCAGTGACTATTGAATGATTAAAGAAGAATAGTGGGAAAACAGGAGCTGGTGAGAGATTCTGCAGATGGTAGAGCATCCAGAGCTAATGCTCCTACAGAAGGGGAGTGCAGGTTTAGCAGCTGATTGATAGCATCTTAAAGACTAACAAACCATGGAGATAGTATCATGAGCTTTGGTGGGCATAACCCACTTCTTCAGAGGACTAGAATCTTAGAAGTTCAGCTCCAAGAATAAATAAGGAAGATGGGGAGGGGAAGAAAAGAGAAGGGGAGAAAAAGGAGAGAGTGGACTGATCTTTCAAGTACTATCAAGAGGCTGATAAGAACAGTTATCACCTCCGGTGTGGAAGCTAGCTGATGTCAGTGTTCTTGCCATTCTCATAAGAATTAAACTTGTAAATGAAATGATGTTCTAACCCTTCCCTGTATATTTAGTTTGTGGAATTGGCCTTGAACAACACTGTGAATTTGTGATCCATTTAACTGAGGGGTCTGTAGTTTCCTTGGTTGTTCTCATTTTTCTTTTTATAGTTTGTCTGTATAGTTGCCCTTTTCCAGTGTTCTGGAATCTCTCCTGTCTTCCATGATTTTTTCAAAGTCAAGAGGTAAAACCTGAGATACCTCCTCTATCAGCTCCTCGAGTAGTCTAAGATGTATTTTATTAGGCTTTGGTGACTTGCAGGTAACTTTTCTAAGTCATTTTTAGCTTGTTCTTGTTCTTATTTTATATTCTAAACCTTCCACCTTCCCTCTAGCATTCACTATATTAGGCATTCCTTCATCATCAGACTTCTTAGTGACGATCCTAACCAAGTCATTAAGCATCTCTGCCATTTCTAAGTTTCCTGTTGTTTCCAAATCTCAGAAATATCCCATATTGTATGTCTACATTTGTAGCCTAATTCGAAATAGCAGTGCAAATGAATGCATTTGAAATTGCAAATGAAGCCAGGGTTTAAATATCATTGCAGGAGGAATAATAGGTATTTTGATACAGGGCTTTATTTCAAGCGCCCGTTTTCCTGCCACGTGTAGATGCGGGCTGTTATTCCGGGCTTGTCAATTTCAAAAAATGGCGCCCAGCTGGGAAGATGCAAATCAAGCACAGGATATTTAAATCCCAGGCTTGATTTTCAATTCTGAATGCATACATTTGCAGCCCTATTTCGAATTAGGCTTCAAGTGTAGACACCCTTATAGAAGAATGAGGAATACTGCTAGAGAACTGGGATGAACTTTGTCAAAGTGGCTTTTATGGCAACCCTTAAAATAATAATGATACTTGTAGTTGGAGATTTTCTCAAATCCAGGAGAATTTGGGTCCAATGCCACAGTCACTCATAGACACATCACACTCCTCAAAGGAAGGGGGCTGTTGAAGTCATTGGGATGTGAGTAAACTACACCTATGAGTAAGGACATCTTTTCTTTTTTCCTTGCATTTATGGCCTGCCTGGTTACAGAGGAAACACTGAAAATGTGCCCTGAGAGCACCTTAAAGAGTCAGAACCTAAAAGCGAAACAAAGAGAGCCCAGTTTTATTTTAAAAAAATCCTCCAAATTTATTAGCTAGTCTCATGACTGGAGATTTAGACTCATTGATCTGCAATGGCAAGGGTTGACAACCCTGAAAGGGTTCCTGAGAATCTTAATAGCTTGGATTGGACTATTGAGGAAAAAAGATGCTGTTCTTTTCCTGTCTGATTTATTTCCATACCTGTCTCATATTTAGCAGAATTTTGAGAAACATTCCTACAAACATGATATGAATGTTGAGTTAGATATGATGAGGTTGCCTAGAATCATAGAATCCTAGGACAAAATGAGACCTTGAGAGGTCATCTAATCGAGTCTCTGCACTTTTGGCACAAATAAGTATTATCTAGATCAACTTTTCTTAAAGTGTTCTAAGGAATCACTTTCAGAAACACTTCAACAGGCTGTTCCAGTTTGTTCATTTACCGGCGCCATGACCACGGACCCTCAACTGCTCCCATTGGCTCCTTTTCACTCTTTGTAGTCAAGGGGAGCCACAGGAAGTGGTGTGTTATCAGCCACTGCTTTCCACTGCTACACTTGGCTGAAAAGAACTAAATGGACCCAATGGGAGCCTTGAGGCTCCGTGACCACGACACCGGTAAATAACTAAACAAATCGGTGTGTCCAGTTAATGTTTCTGAGTGAGATTCCATAGAACACCTGACAGGTGTTTGTCTAACATACTGTGAAATATTTCTAATGATGGAGATTCCATAGCCTCCTTAAGCAATTTGTTCCAGCATTTAACTACCCTAACAGGAAGTTTTTCCTAATGTCCAACCTAAACCTCCTTTGCTGCAACTTAAGCCCCTCGCTTCTTGCCCTATCAAGGACACAAATTGTTTGAATTAAAAATATTTTTTTTCTTTTCAGGTCAAGTTCAAATAGAACTGAGTAAGTGCGTATGGATTCTTTTAATATAAAAGACAATTCAATTTCACGCTGGAAAAGAGATGCAAATAGAAATGAAGTTCTCACAGTTAGAAATAAGGGAACTAAATGACGGTTGTAGTTAGTAGAATATCATTCTGATAAAATGTGCTAGGACAGACAGCTGAATACAGACCTATTCCTGCCCCCTTGATGGAAGTCTTCCCTGGGCTATCTGTGTCTTACATTCCTCATATCCATTCAAAATAAGGCATGTAAGTATCTTGTGCTGTACAGGTCTAGCACTTGTTCACTGTCCTGGAATGAATTTTATCATTAAGCTGTCCTTACCTGTATGTGAATATATAGGGAGTTAGGACAACATATTTAACTACCCTGACAATGGGTCTCCAATGAGGTGATTTGGAATTTTCCATTCACATAAATCATAGCAGTAGAATCACATGGTTTAAGAGAATGAATGAGTATGGGTGTCCCTCACTCAAAGTATCAAATATTTATCACACGGCCTAATTGTTTGCTATATGTGTCAATTGTCTTCTCCACTATGATCCTCCTGCCAACCCCTCTGAAGTCTGGGGAGTATGCTTCTGCCGGAATCGTATGCTTCTGCCAGGCTCCAAGTGTATGGGAACCCCTTCAAAGTCTGTCCCACTGGCCAGGCCTCCATGTTCCTCCATATCTTTGTGGGCTATTACTCTTGACCTAATGGGCTGGGGAAGATGGAGCTAAAGAGGAGAGAAAAGGAGCAGAGTCAAATTGTATTGGTGCCTTCCCAGCAGCAGAGTGATGAAAGGGCTGAGGACTTCAAGAGTATTCCCACATTTTTGGTACAGGGGAATGGGAAGGGAGAAACCTTCTCCATTTGCTGAGGAAAGAGACTATCACAGGCAATGTCTACATTGCAGAGTTTTTCAGGCAAAACTACTTATGTCAACACTGCAATTGTGTTATTTCAACAGAAAATCGAAAGAATGCAGGGGTTTTTCTGACAATAATAAACCTCTTTTAGGATGTGCAAGTCCTGTGTTCTTAAACTTTGTATCTGTTTAATTGGCTATCATTTAAAATTAATTTTCTATTTATTATAGGATGTGCAATGGCCTGTGGCCATGATGCTAAATTAATTAAGGACTTAGTTCGAGTTAACATTTGACTGCCGCGCGTAGCCTCGGGCAGTTAGTTTGGACTAAGGGGATTTAAAAATGGTGCCCAGACGGGAAGATGAAAATAAAGCCCAGGATATTTAAATCCTGGGCTTCATTTGCAACTTCGAATGCCTACATTAGCCTCCTTAGTTCGAACTAGGGGGCTAGGGTAGACATAGTCTAAGATATTTCCTCCTTCCCGCTCCCCCAATTCTCTTTCAGAATATGATCTGAAGAAGTGGGTCTGGCCCATGAAAGCTCATCTCCTAATAAATCACCTTGTTAGTCTTTAAAGTGCCACATATTTTTTCCTCCTATAGTGGAAGAGTTCCTGGGGAAACTGTGAACCACTAACTTATGAGCTGTAGTGTGGGCATGAATCACCCCTCAGTTATGACTGCTGTGGCTGTAAGTTGGCCTATTGTAGGTCAAAGTACATTTTTAGGGTAGACCTGCCCTCAATCTCAGAGCAAATGCTGCCTCATTGGGGCATGATCTTCTTGCTCAAATCTCATCTTTAGAGGTGGTGGCATAGGGTGGTAATAGTCCTTCTGGGTATTCCTAAGGAGGAAGCGAGAAAAGAAGAGTCAGTGCTAGAGAATTCAACTGTAAGTTGGCCTATTGTAGGTCAAAGTACATTTTTAGGGTAGACCTGCCCTCAATCTCAGAGCAAATGCTGCCTCATTGGGGCATGATCTTCTTGCTCAAATCTCATCTTTAGAGGTGGTGGCATAGGGTGGTAATAGTCCTTCTGGGTATTCCTAAGGAGGAAGCGAGAAAAGAAGAGTCAGTGCTAGAGAATTCAAG